TGTGTGGAGGGGGGTTTGGGGCACAAACTTGAATACTTCTGTTTTTAAGATAAAGTGCTTCCTTCTTTGAAATTAATTGACCTTTTCGTAATTAGTCTGAATGTCAAGCACAACAATATTTTTGTAAAATTATAATTTTGTTAGAGCTATATTTAAGTACAAAAATAACATAACTTTGTTTATAACATTGTTCACCTGAAACATATTGATGTTAATAAAAAAAAACATACAGTATTGGTAAAGAGCACTGGTATTTTTGTAATATAAAAGCACAAAAGATACAATTTGGGCAGGCTTTTTTTTCGGGTGGGGAGGGGGTAAAATTCACACAATCATTATTTTTGTTTAAGTTGGAGGTTAATGTTGTCTTTGTTTTTAAAGCATAATTTTTTCACAAATGTTGTTCTAAATGATAGATTTCAGCTACTAATAACCACATTCACAAAAAATGTGAAAGACTGAAATAATATTTAACTAGAAGATAAACCCATGTTGAACCATGCAGCACCTGTTCTTCCCAATGATCAGTTTAGTTTATGTAAATATCCTTGCAATGGTTGCTGAATGATGTGTTGATAAAAAATGTCACCGTCGTCTGAAGAGAAGATGAACAAGCAGGTGGCATTTTGTGTCTTTTGTAGTTATTGTGGATCCCAAGGTCCCAGGATTCCTGAGGCCAGTGAACTTAGCCCACAATAAATAGTATCTGTGTTCCACTGTACTGCCTTCAAACTGGACCCTTGGATGGGCTACACAAAGTTGTTAGTGATCTGTCTTTGGTGTTCAAACAGGTCTTCGGTCTCCGCACTGTAAGCGTCCCCTGTGAAAGGGAACAAAAAGGAAGCATTTTGAAGTTCAGCATAATGAGAAATTCAGGAAGGAAAGAAAAAGAAGACACCTCTCCTCACCTGTGTGACAACTGTACATGAAAACTCTGTGGCCGTCGTATTTGCACCGACATCTCATGACGTTGTTCATGAAGTCAGACTCGGCCATGTCCAGTGAAGGGTTGACTTCCACCTGCCAAACAGCACAAGCAGCCATAAACTCCTTCGTTGTTCACCAAACACTAAACTCCGGTTGACCGGGTTCATAGACAATAAAGGACCAGGTTTCATTGTTCTGCTTACTGGGAAAGTCATTTTAGGAAAACAGCAGTCGCATGTATAATTGTGAGAGAGATTCTTATTAAACGGCAATCGTGGCTGGAATTGTTTTTATAGTCAATCTGCTTCTCATCTATAAAAAAAACATCGGATGACTTTTCCATACACCATTTTATGAAACAAATATACTCTGTGGCACTCTCTTATATACTTGATGCTGGACTGATTTTCACTTTGTCATTTGCAGTTTAAGCATACGGACTTTAAAGTGCAGTGATCTTCTACATCACATTATGCAAAACACCACTGTATCTTTTGTAAAAAAAAAAAAAAAAAAAAAAAAAAGTTCAGTTGCGCAAACGTATGTTTTGACCACATTCTAATTGTCTGAGGAAGATTTTCAGAAGAACAAATGCAAATGAAGCAGATTACAACAATGCAGACACGCTCTCCGTAAAATTGCAAAAAATATTTTTATCCTAAAATGGAAGCCAGTTGCGACAGAGCCGTTATGCAAAAGTATGTTTATATGTCTGAAATCGGTCTTATTCTGAGTGCAGCTGTACATGTACTAATAGTGTGTCATTTGCCCAGCAGCTCTGTAACTGCTGATACAACCATTCTGCTAATCTGGCCTAGTGATAGTACCATGAAGCCATTTACTCTAATAGCTGCTCTGTAAACTGCTACGCCCACTTTAAGTACAGCTTACAAACAGCTTCTGGGAGAAAGAAGGTAATCAACACTAAAATAGGTGAAAACTTAAAAATGCATGGCTAATTCACAAAAAAATAAACAAATAAAAGTGTCTCTTGTTTTTTTTGTTGTAAATTACACTGTTGGACCAGAACGTACCGGGCCCTGCTGAGGGTTGGTTCAGTAGCAGAATGCATCTCTTAGTTAAAAATTGGCTATAAAAATAAAAACAGGGCAGGAGGAATTCCTTGGTGGCAAATTAGCCATTCCTAATGGAAGAGAGGACTAGGTGCTGTTTGACTAAAGGGTGCCAATAGTTAATTTGGGTAAATTGGTGTGTTTCATTAGCACTGGGTGGTTCAAGGACAGGCCCGCCGAGTCTTTCTGGAAAGCTCAGGATCAGAAGCATCAGTCGTCATCTGCACTTTTAAAGATTAAAGAACATAGCGCGAAGAGAAAGAGCTGCTCAAAAGCTGTTTGTATTTTTCCAATTCAGCGACCTTGAAGAATAACCACTTCACTGCATGGCTTGCTTTATGTTCTCTCACTCTTATTTTTTCCTTGTTTGCTCTTCCAATTCAAATGCCATCCTAGGGCTGAAATGACACGGCTTTTTCCATTTTCTATTTATCTCAACTGCAGTTTTGTCATTCTCTGTTATTCACCTCTTTTTTGTGTCTCCATAATGTGCCACCTTATAATTAAACCCCTGTCTGCGTGCTCAAAATACATGCATCTGTGCGACACCTCGTTACTGGGTAAATTAAACAAGCCAGTCTTCAATAGAGAGAGAGTAAAGAAGTGTCAATTAAAGAGACTGAGTGCGCAACGGCAATAATTATCAAACAAAATGGGCAACAAACTGGGTTACAGCAATATTTTACAAACTGTGAGTTCCACTGGAACCAGACTCACACAGCTTGGAGGTAATTGGCACCATGCTAAGATCTGAGGAATACCACATACCAAAGTGTGATTAAGGTTCTGACATGAAAATGGATGATAGCGGTGCATGGTGTGTTTGATGTGTTTTTATAGTCTGGTTGCCACTATGACTTATCAAAGAGTAAATACATTTTTTTAATGGTGCTGACTGATGAAAGCGAATGTTAGCCTGTTTCTTTAGATTGTAATGAGGAATGATATTTTGAAAGGTTTCTAACTCCTATTTCTTTACCAGATCTTTGACRTTAAAATCTCACTTTCTCTCTTTTTTTATTGGATTTAAAAAAAAGTATTGTGGCCACAAGACATATATCCAACATCACCTGACAGGCACTATAGTCTCTTAATAAAGTTAGATGAGAATAATTACACTCCTACACCTATGTGGTAGACCTTTTTTTCCACTGTGGGTAGCAGTGTAGTTAGTTTAATTTGACAAGTAAGATATAAAATGAAAATAAGAATTGACCAAGAAAATAGCAATTAGTGTCTCTTACCATTATGTGCACATTGGTTGGTTAATGATGACAATGACATATATTGTTAACACACAATGGAAAAAATCACCACTGGTTTTCTTTTATCTACTTTTTAACAAACTAAGCAATGAAGTGTTTATGTTATGTGTCCCGACAGCAAACAGGAATAAGGAAAAATAAAAGAAAGGCCTCTAACCTGGAATATGTAGTCACCAGGCCGTACATCCGTCACATCAACCCACTGACAGTCAATATCATGGCGATAAGTGTCCCAGCAACCTACAGAAATGCCTTGATCACCCATGTTGTAGCAGGAGAACCGCTTCTGGAGTCCTACAACACATCAACATGTAAATCAGCAATGTTATCGATCCAAACACAAAAGTTTATTTGATGTTTCACACAGTCCATGTTCATTTTAAGGGTCATTAGCTTCATTAGTACTCTATGAACATGTGCTTTTTTTTCTCATGAGATATTTTACTCAAGATATAACAAGTAAATGGATAAAAGCAGCAACATTAGCCATAAAATAAAATTGAAAAAMGTTTGTGAAAACATTCCTAATAGCTTTCTGGAATGAATGGAAAACATCTTATTTTTGGGAATCATTAACAGTGTTGAACATTACCATCAGGGCAGTATGTATCCTCAAGACAGAAACTGGCCTTGTGTCCCTCTGCAACCTTTGTACCGTTCAGAGTCAGCAGGTCATAGTGTGTGAACACCTCAATGCTGTGGTAGTGCCTGTGACATCGGAGGGGAAAGTCCAGATGAGAGTGTGTTTCTGCTGAGTGTGGGCATTTACTCGAACTGAACACTAGCTGTCTATAGCTCGTATCCTTATGACCTCACCGCTTGAACACGAGCAGGGTGTCACCATAACACCTCTTACAGAAGCTTGTTTTAGCGCCAGCTTGCTTGGGTTATTTATTCATTATCAATGAATAGAGGGCTTTGAAACTTGCATCCACAGCTCTGATAGGCTGTAATAACTGAGGCAGACTCGACTGTGTCTGAACTAGCCTGTCCCGTATTTGACTTCCAACCTTGGTTTCTCCGCTGCTGCCACCAAGTAGCCAATAAATATGGAAAGGCGACAGCACTGTTTCACTTTTTAAAGCAACAATCCACCTCTTATGTCTAACAGACACTTTGCATGCTACCTGCAGTAACCTCATCCAAACTTTAACAAGTTTTCTGTACTTTCCGGCAATAAAACTAAATTCAGTCATATGTAAGCTGCCATGCCAAACATGGTGGAGGCTATGTCATCACATACAAGCTATGTTTGTCTTCATGTTTTTACAGTATCTAAAAACCACATAAAGAAGACTTCCAGGACACTAAAGCACAGCCTCCTGCTTACTCACGTGACACACCTAGCTTTTATACAGCTTTGCACTTGTTGCAAGAACAGTTTTTGCACAGTTTTGTGATGGTTGTATTTACTATCCAAGCACAGGGCAAAATTAGTGCCTAAGAAGTGTGGACACTGTAATTTTTGCAGCTGGCACTGTTGCGTACATATTTATTTGGGTTTTCATTTCAGTGCAAATAATTTTGAGGGAACGTRTTTAAATGAATTACATTTCCTAAGTTATGTGCCTTCAAAGCCATTAATTAGAGCATTTTAAAAGAATGCAAAAAGAAGAGATTATTATTTACATCAAGAGATTATCTTCAGTTTATCGTGRAAAAAAGGGAAGATGATCTACGGTTTAACTTTATATCTAAAAAGTGTTTCGCRAAGCCTCTTGCACCAAAATGTCTTGAAGCTCTTCATGTTTTACTTTATATAAACTTGAACTTGTTTTGATGGAGCCACTACATTTTGTTGGTTAAAGACTATCATCTTCATGCTCCAGTGCAAAACAAATATCAACATTATTATATGATGTGGATGCAAAGTTTTCATACACATGCCTTCTGAAAAAAACAGTTCCAAATGTTGACAAAAAACAGCCGTGACATTAGGCCGAAAGGTGAATCGTAGTTATTTTCTAAATCTGATTCCAAGATTAACAAGGACTACTATAAAATCTGACATTTATTACTTCTTTAAACAGTTCTTAACACTTAAGCTTTGTGTCCTCTACCTGTGGCACTCGTGCCATGTCCAGGTGTCTTTTGATGCCTTGGGTCTGAAATCGGACCGACCCAGGTTCATGATGCGAGAGGAGAAGCGCAGCAGGCGACGGTGGCCGTAGGGCCAGTTCATCCTGGCAGCAGAGGAGGACAAACAGTTCTCTTCATGAGCACACTTCAGCAAGTGGAGGGGTCGGTCTTCCAGGTAGGTTGTCTCCTGGACCAGCTGGGCGTCCAAAACAAGATCTGGGGCAGCTAAGAAGTGTTCAGTGTGACATGTTTGGGGTTAGAGTTCTTACAGGAGAAGAGAGGACTGAGAACTTCAGAAAGATGACTCAACTTACTGTCCGAACAGCTGACCCCAGCAGCCTTGGCCCCACCTCCACGCGGGCAGTGAAGGTGGGTGTTGCGACGACATTGTTGGATTGAAAGCTCTGTTCCCACACAGTGAGTTCCACTGAGAATCAYGTCGTTAGCATTTGGGTCACCAGCCCAGTACCATGTCTCCTGTCAAAGAAAGGGCGTGGAGAGACGACAGTGCATTTGTCAGGTTTTCTATCATAGAGCCGTAACACGGTCAGAGAATACAGGGAGCTGTGATTATAGATCTGTCCTCAAGTGTTAATTTCATTTTCACCTCAATAACTCAGATAGTGCTGATGGGGGTTTTGACAACTCTCAAAGAAATTATGTTTGCCAGCTTTAATTTGTCTTTTTTTAATTAAAGAAATTGGCTCAGATGTTTGTTGTTTGCTCCCTCAGAACTTTGCGAAAAGTTCATGGCCTGGTCATTAGAGATAAAAAAAAATGATCTGTTGTCATCACAAAAAAAAGTAGGTCCTCTGGATGGGTTCTTTAGAGAAACGTTTCATCTCTCATCCAAGAGACTTCTTCAGTCTGATGAGTTTCAGGTGAATTCAGCCTTATAAGCACTGCCTCCACATGGACAAACAGGTTAGCCACATGCAAAAGAGGGCCATTGCCTAACAATAGGCTTAATTAGCTCCTACACTGCTGCTATTGCAAGCATGACTCAGCCCCCTGTGAGCAAAAGGTGTGAATTAGGGCCCCAATGATACCAACACAAAGAGGGAAAAAAAGATAAAAACAAGGGGACATCGAGCCCCGCTTGCACTCACTACATACACATAACACGAAACCAAAGAACCACATCCAAACCAATAAGTCAGGTGATGGGGCACATGACCCTCTAGAAACAATAGAGCT